TTCTTCTTCTAATGCCACTAGGAACAGCTTGAGTCACTGGACCTCTGTCGCACAACAAATCTGTCCATAGAGCTCTGTACCTCCCGTTCCTTGAAGACCTTCCTAAAATGGGCCATAACATTGTCATTGTACAGATTGCCAACACGGCTTGCAGTAGCTGTGTTGGTGATTTTTATCCGTAAAGGTTTGCAGTTCAACCCACTTTGCACACATTTCCTTAATCTCTCTTTTTAATTCCATACTAATTCTCGCCCATTTTACCACAGGGATGGCACTAGAAGCTTTCTTGGTGACTTATTTTGCGGTTACAAGCACTAAAAACACGGGATGATGTGAAATGTACTGAATGTATGCGTAGATGCGACCGCACTGGCTGGCTTGTAAACACTGTGCTGAGGCCACACGTGAGACGCGTCCCGGACGAATCACGTAGGGCGAGTTTTTTATCATGAGATGAGGCAAAATTTTTGCATTCAAATGCTTTGTATGGCGGATTTAACGTAACACAATGCGTTCATAAGGCGGGGGTCCACTGTATTTATCCACCCTATTTTTAAAACTACACAATGTCTTAGCTTCTATGACAGTACTCAGGAGTTTGTTCCACTCATCCACAACTCTATTACCAAACCAGTCCTTTCTTATATCCTTCCCGAATCTAAACTTTTTCAAATTTAAAACCATTGCTGCGAGTCCTGTCTGTTAGATATTTTTAGCACGCTATTTACATCCCCTTTATTAATTCCTGGGATTAGGTCAGGGGTTTCAAATAGTTAGAGCTAAAGGAGGAGTAGCAATAATGTTGAAGGATAAGTTATGGCAAGAAAAGAGGGAATACAAATGTATTAATTCAAGGATTATGTGGAGTAAAATAAAGGTTGGATGTGAAAGGTGGGTTATAGTAAGCATATATGCATCTGGAGAAGAGAGAAGTGTAGAGAGAGAGAGATTTTGGGAAATGTTGAGTGACTGCGTGGGGAGTTTTGAACCAAGTGTGAGAGTAATGGTGGTTGAGGATTTCAATGCTAAAGTGGGCAAAAATGTTGTGGAGGGAGTAGTAGGTAAATTTGGGGTGCCAGGGGTAAATGAAAATGGGGAGCCTTTAATTGAGCAATGTGTAGAAAGAGGTTTGGTAATAAGTAATACATATTTTATGAAGAAGAGGATAAATAAATATACAAGGTATGATATAGCATGTAATGAAAGTAGTTTGTTAGATTATGTATTGGTGGATAAAAGGTTGATGGGTAGGCTCCAGGATGTACACGTTTATAGAGGGGCAACTGATATGTCGGATCATTATTTAGTTGTAGCTACATTTTAGAGTAAGAGGTAGATGGGAAAAAGAGAAAATAGCAACAACAAGCAAGAGGGAGATGAAAGTGTATAAACTAAGGGAGGAGGAAGTTCAGGTGAAATATAAGCAACTATTGGCAGAAAGGTGGGCTGGTGCAAGTATGAGTAGTGGGGGGGGGGGGGTTTAAGAGGTTGGAATAGTTTTAAAAATGCAGTATTAGAATGGGGGGAGAAGTTTGTGTTTTTGGGAGGGTGGGTGCAGGAGGAAAGAGGAGCGATTGGTGGAATGATGAAGTAAAGAGTGTGATAAAAGAGAAAAAGTTAGCTTATGAGAGGTTTTTACAAAGCGAAGTGTTATAAGAAGAGTGAGTAGAGTATATGGAGAGTAAAAGAAAGGTAAAGAGAGTGGTGAGAGAATGCAAAAGGAGAGCAATGATGATGGAGAGGCACTGTCAAGAATTTTATGAAAAAAGAAAAAATTTGGAGTGAGTTAAACAAGTTAAGAAAGCCTAGAGAACGAATGAATTTGTCAGTTAAAAATAGAGTAGGGGAGTTAGTAGATGGGGAGATGGAGGTTTTGGGTAGATGGTGAGAATATTTTGAGGAACTTTTAAATGTCGACGAAGAAAGGGAAGCGGTAATTTCATGCACTGGCCAGGGAGGTATACCATCTTTTAGGAGTGAAGAAGAGCAGAATGTAAGTGTGGGGGAGGTACATGAGGCATTACGTCAAATGAAAGGGGGTAAAGCAGCTGGAACTGACGGGATCATGACAGAAATGTTAAAAGCAGGGGGAGATACATGTATAGCGCTGAAGTGGTTGGTATTTTTGTTTAATAAATGGATGAAAGAGGGGAATGTACCTAGGGATTGGCAGAGAGCATGTATAGTCCCTTTATATAAAGGGAAGGGGGACAAAAGAGATTGTAAAAATTATAGGGGAATAAGTTTACCGAGTATACCAGGAAAAGTGTACGGTAGGGTTATAATTGAAAGAATTAGAGGTAAGACAGAATGTAGGATTGCAGATGAGCAAGGTGGTTTCAGAGTGGGTAGGGGATGTGTAGATCAAGTTTTTTACATTGAAGTATATATGTGAACAGTATTTAGATAAAGGGTAGAAAAAGTTTTTATTGCATTTATGGATTTAAAAAAGGGGCATATGATAATGGAGCAATGTGGCGATGTTGCAAGTATAGGGAAATTGCTGTAAAGAGTTTTTATGAGGATAGTGAGGCTAGGTTAGGGTGTGTAGAAAAAGGGAGACTACTTCCCAGTGAAAGTAGGTCTTAGACGGGGTTTGTAATGTCACCAAAGGTTGTTTAATATATTTTTAGATGGGGTTTTAAAAGAAGTAAATGCTAGGGTTTTCAGGAGGGGGTGGGATTAAAATTATGGGGAATCAAATACAAAATGGGAATTGACAGTTGCTTTTTGCTGATGATACTGTGCTTATGGAGATTCTAAAGAAAAATTGCGTAGGTTTAGTTGGATGAGTTTGGGAGTGTGTGTAAAGGTAGAAAGTTTTAAAGTGAACATAGAAAAGAGTAAGGGGATGAGGATATCAAATGATTTAGATAAAGAAAAAATTGGGTATCAATTGGGGAGGGTATGGAAGAAGTGAATGTTTTCAGATACATGTACAGTGGGACCCCGCATAACGATTACCTCCGAATGTGACCAATTATGTAAGTGTATTTATGTAAGTGCGTTTGTACGTTATTGGGTTTGGGGGTTGAAATGGACTAATCTACTTCACAATATTCTTATGGGAACAAATTCGGTCAGTAATGCACCTGAACATACATGTACTTTTGGAGTGAAAAAATTATCGGTAAACCGGGGGTCCACTGTACTGGGACTTGATGGTAGGGATGGATTTATTTAAATTCAAGTTCAATTCGAGTTTATTTCTATAGGGTTACATGTGGGGGTTTTCGGTTTTGGTATTGTATGGGTTTACCCTGGGTTATAAAATTACTATTTACGAGGGTCCCCTAGGGGCACCTAGCATGGCTAGGCATTTCGAACAGATTTAGATAATTTTAACATTAAATCCTTACAGATTAAGGTATTAAGGCTAAGTGACTACATCTAATTTGTGAGTTTTTAGCAATGGGGAATGCTTTTGTTTTGGCACAATACAAAGTGGGCTATATTGAGTATCATAGGCAAACTTATGACTAGTTCAGATTTATTATTTAAGATTAAGATGTATTCTGGGGTTTTTAGTCAGTGGGTGAGTGGGGTGTAATTGTGAACCCCCAGGGGTTTTCTGTATTAGTTGTCAGGGTGGATCAGGAAGTAAGTTTTTTTCTAACTTAGTTTTTAAAGTGATGAATTTTGTGCAGTTTTTAGAGTTTTAGTGGGGTGTTCCAGATTTTAGGGCCTTTGAAATACATTTATTTTTTTTAAAGGTTTAGTCGAATACGAGGAATGTCAGAGATGTTTGTGTCTGGTGTTATGCCTGTGGATCCTGTCACAACTATCAAGAAAGTGTTTTAGGTCAAGGTTAATATTGGAATTTAAGGTCCTGTAGATATAGATTGCACAGTAGTAAGTGTGGATGTTCTGAACAGGGAGTAAGTTTAGATCTATGAAGAGTGGGGGGGTGTGTTGCCAGGGATGGGATTTAGTGATTATTCTTACTGTGGCTTTTTGTTGGGTTTTTATTGGCTTTAGGTGTGTTGCTGCAGTTGAACCCCAAGCACAGATAACATAGGTGAGGTAAGGATATATAAGTGAATGGTACAGTGTGAGAATGGCAGTTTGCAGCACGTAGTATCGTATCTTGGAGAGGATCCCCACTGGTTTGGATACGTTTTTTTGTTGTGTGTTGGATGTGGGTGCAGAAATTTAGGTTGTTGTCGAGGTATAGGCCAAGGAATTTGCCCTCATTATGTCTGGCAATTAGTGTTGTCGATCTTAATGTTAAGTTGTGCAACACCTGCTCTGCTACCAAACATAATATAGTAGGTTTTGCCAGTGTTAAGTGTAAGTTTATTGGCTGTCATCCAAGTCGATATTTTGAGTAGCTCCTCGTTAACAATGGTGTTGAGGGTGGCAAGATTAGGGTGGGAGATGACATAAGTCATGTCGTCAGCAAAGAGAATGGGTTTCAGGTGTTGGGATATGTTTGGAAGATCATTGATGTAAATGAGGAAGAGCAGGGGTCCAAGGACACTTCCTTGCGGAACTCCAGTATCAAGTGGCCGTATTGATAAGGCTGTGTCTTTAATGGTGACATACTGATTCCTATTAGAAAGGTAGGATTTAAAATATTTAAGCGCATGGCCTCTTATACCATAGTGGTCAAGTTTGTGGAGTAGGATGCCGTGGTCTACTGTGTCAAATGCTTTTCTTAGGTCAATAAAAATTCCTAGCGGATATTCCTTATTTTCCAATGCTGTGTAAAGCAGGTCTAGCATTTTTATAATTGCATCATTAGTGCTTTTATTTTTCCTGAATCCAACTTCTTTAGGCAATACCATCTAAAGTTCTGTAGGGCTTCTCTAACTTCATTTTGAGAAAAATATAGTGGTTTCACAGGTTAGTTACTTCTTCATTTTGATGAAGATTTCTCGTAATGCTTCGTGCCATCAGATGAGAACCCTCAGGTGTAAAGAGTAATAGAGATACATTGAGAAAAAATGCTGTATTGCCATATGAATATTTAAACCAATCCTGTAACACTCTCCTTTCAGGGCATGACAATTAAACCTCTAGTCAACCTTCTTCAGATTCAGAAGCGAAGGGTTGGGCGTAACAATTTAAATGAGGAAATCAACGGTACTGCCATGGATCACATCATGGCTGGCGTGGAGGAGATTCTTGGCCAGCATGGAGACTTTTACCTCAGGGTAAGCTGGGAGTTATCCATATTAACACGGACCAAGACATTAAGAAAAGTAAATTTAAAATAAGGTGACAAACGCAAATCTTTTTCAAAATTCAATTGTGGGCCCTGCTGCTATGCAGCTGTTTTCACTTGTACCCATTCTTCATTTATTCAGACTTCCTACACTGTATTCACCACTCATTATAAGCTAAGGATGAAAATATTTAAGTAATGTATGTATTGTATATGCATTTTTTAGGCCTAGTTCTATTACAGGCCTGCCTGTACTGTACAGTATTGCACAACATATGGCAATCTGAAGGATCATAGAATGCACAGCATCTCAGGCAAATCTTAGATTATACATAAAATCTACATAGTTTTATTTTCTGTTCCTCTAACCGGTCTGATACACAGTATTAAAAGGAATTTAAAAACAGATATAAGTTACGAGCTAATTCATAAATAAAAAAAATAATTACCTAGTTACAGTTCATAACAGAGTTTATATTTGAATGGTTTCTGCTGTATATACGCTATGTGAGTGGCATAACATGCAAAGCAAATCATTGTATACTGTCAACATTTCACCTGAAGCAAAGCAAAACATCTGTAAATAACGAGTTTATCTGAACGTGGTTTCTTTTTACGATAATTATAGGCATTCAACATAAAATAAAGTACTGAGAAAGACAATGTTTGTAGTAAACTTTATCAAGCTGGGCTTGATAAAGTTCAGTTTAGATGAAGTGTCTTAATAAAAATTTCACTATAAATATTCAATGGTGTCTTTCTCACCATCTGCCAGCTTGCACCATCACTCATGAAATAAGGTTGCTGTTAATGACAAGCAGAAGGCATTCCAACTGACTTGAAGGAACCATAGAAGCTCTACTGCAGGGGTAGTAAACTGGAGCCATTTTGACTCACAAAATTGTAATAACACAATTGCAAACAGACCATGGTATGGGTGGGGTTAGAACCCATGGCAAGTGAGTCGTAAAACCCCACTTGTTATGGGTTTAACCCACCCGTACTGTGGTATTTTTTAGTCATTTTCCCATTAGCAGCAATCACACTGCAATCTACTTGGCTATCTTCTTCATTTTCTCCACTATGCATTATTATATTCGCAAAAAATTGCTAAACCCAAATTGGTCATAAAACTCTGTTAACTAATGCATTCTCTTTCTTGTAAATACTTTTTAAAATTTGGGAGATGCTATGAACATTTGAAGAAAGTGTATCAAAATGTAGAAGAACTTTTTTTGAAAACCATTTTTTTTTATGCAGTACAGGTACAGCATCGATTTTCCGGACACTGATGGTTTGGAAACTCTTATAATCCATATAAATTTACGAGCAGGAACTTGAAATTCCCGCGGCAGTGCATTTACAACCCCACTGTACGTCACTTATCCAACCCCAAGACCAAGGAATACTGCACTCTCTAAAGGCGGAAAACTCGGTAATCCACAAAGGCTTTGGAACCAATGGGTCCAGAAAATCGATGTTGTACCTGTATTAATAAGAGATGTTAGCTAGCTAATTAAATCAAATAAACAGTCTTAAATATAAAAATTTCATGTTGCTAGGTGTATAAAGTACACACTGGTATACTTCCTTTCAGGAGCTGATGATACACTACAATGATAAGTACCTCAAAAAGTGGTTTCTCCGGCCTTCGTGTGAAACAAAACTACAAAGGCTTTTTGAAAAAATTGCCATTTCGTGAGTATGATTCTGTAATCATAATTTGGGTTATACATTTGCTATATTGGGGCCATAATTTTCTTCCATCATTTTTGTTCATTGTCTAAAATTTATCAAGAGTTATATCTAACAATCAATTATTGCACAAGGGATTTACACATTCCATGTTATCATTGCATTTATGGGGATGCACTAAACCTGTAGATCTCACACAGTTTATAGGAATGGGGAGGCATTTAGTTTTGATATACAAGGGAAACCAATTAGCTGGACTTGAGTCCTGGAGGTGGGAAGTACAGTGCCTGCACTCTAAAGGAGGGGTTTGGGGTATTTGCTATTTTGAGGAACATCTAAACTGTCATATCTGCATGCCTCGGGCAAGACAGTGATAGTGTGAATGATGGTGAAAGTGTTTCTTCTTTGGGTCACCCGCCTCAGTGGGAGACAGCCAGTGTTTTGAAAAAAAAAAAGATAAGGAAAGAGAAGTTAGCTCTAATTCTCTGGATTAACCCTTAAACTGTCCAAACGTAGATCTACGTTTACTCGAATAGCGCTCTGAATGTAGATCTACGTTCAGTTTTACATGCTTTCTCTTGTAAAAAAAACAGATCTATGTTCGGAGCACTACGTGAGTGACTGTAGATCTACGTTTGGACAGTTTAAGATTAAACTGTCCAAACGTAGATCTATGTTCACTCGCCTAGTTTTCTGAATGTTTTGTAAAAAAAATTTTTTTTTTTAAATGAAGAGGGCATTATTCTACACATTATAAGATAAAAAAAAATTAGGATCAGTACTTATTGAGATATAAGCCCTCAAAGTTGGCACTGGATGCTCACCTGACGGCATTATAGAGTCTGCCACTTGCGAAAGTGTTGCCAATATACTTTTTTTCTCATTTTTATTTTAATTTATATAATTTTTGTTCTGATAATTACAGTTTATAGTAGTTCTTGTGATTTCATAGCCAATCTTTGTTCTGACACTAATAGTATTAGGTACTGAAATAGTACTCAGTCACAAACACACCGACAGGTGAACCTTGCACATTTACTATTGTCTAGAAGTATATACTATATACAAAGTTTATAGGTCTCAGCAATGTTTAGAAATGCTGGAGTATATATGAAACTCTTTGAAACATGGTATTAAGAGCGATGTTACTAAACTGCTGACATTGCAGCAGTGGAGTGACACTGAAAGTGCACTGCCCAGGGAACCCTGGCTTTATTTGTTTCACTGTTACACACAACATGATATCTGTCTAGCTCTGCTATCTGTCTGTCTGCCTGTGTGTCTGCTTTTTGTCTGCGTGTGTGTGTCTGTCTTACCGTCGGCTTGTCTCCCTGTCTCAGAGAGCGGCTTGTAAATCAACAGGTTTTAGACATGATGCAGTTGTCATGTCTGATTCCTGATCAAGTGAAAATGCTTATTATGCTTTATATCTACAAGCACTGTAGTGATTAACCTAACTAAATCTAGAGTGAGCCTCTCATCCCGCCAACAGATACTGCCAACAAACTAAATGTCTTTTTCTCCACTGTAGGAACAACACTAGCAAGCAAAATCTCAAACTCAAACACCACAACCAAACAACTACCTACTGGCAACTACCCCAATACACTCTGTTCCTAACCCCAACAAACCCTACTGAAATCTCACTCATCAAAACACTAAAGAACAAGGCAGGAGACCTAAATAGCTTACCACCATTTATGTATAAAAAAGCTTCTCATTTGTTGTCACCCATTATTGCAACACTTTTTAACAAGTCCATTGAATCTTCAACCTTCCCATCCCTACTCAAGACAGCAAGAGTTACACCAATCCACAAAGGAGGTGATCCTACTGATTTAAATAACTAGAGCCCTATATCAGAGCTACCCCTTCTATCTAAAATCTTTGAAAAAATAATACACAAGCAAGTTTACTCCTACTTTGTATCTCACAACATACTTAACCCCTGCCAGTTTGAATTTAGGCCAAGCAAAAACACAAATGATGCAATTATACATATGCTCGAGCTTCTGTATATGGCGCTAGGAAAAAAAGGAAATTCCACTTGAGCTTCTTCATAGACTTACGGAAAGCATTTGATACAGTTGACCACGATCTCTTACACCTGAAACTTGAACATTACGGGGTCAGAGGACACTCACTCGATTACCTTAAATCGTATCTTAGCAATAGACACCAGTATGTATACACAAATTGAGTTGCCTCCACCACACAACCTGTTCTAGTTGGAGTACCCCAGGGCAATGTCCATGGACCACTATTTCTCATTTACATCAGTGACATCCCTAATGCCTCCAAACTACTTAAACCTGTTCTTTTTTGTAGATGACATTACCTATATCTTCTCTCACCAAAACCAAGCTATACTTAGAAACACTGTAAACGATGAGCTGCTAAAATTATCCACTTGGATGACGGCCAACAAAGTTACTCTCAGTACTGTATTGACAAAACCTACTTCATACTGCTTGGAAACAGAGCTGCAAATATTCAGCTAAACACATTGATAAATGGTTCCCCCATTTCAAGACACACTGACGGAAAAATTCTAGGGCTGCATATTGACAGCTGCCTTAAATTTCAGACCCACATACAGCAAATTTCCAAAAAATCTCCAAAACAGTAGGTATCCTCTCTAAGATACAGTACTATGTACCCTAAATGGCACTTCTTGCTCTTACCACTTTCTCATACTCAAGACAGCAAGGGTTATACCAATCTACAAAGGTGCTGATGCTATGGTATCAAAAATGGAAGGATGTTGCACATGGGTTATTTTCAAGGTTTTTGATGTTTCCTCGACCACTTGTGGCTACATCCATCTTACAGCCACTAAACTCGGGGTCAACATCACTTTACTCTTAAAAGTGGAGTGTTAATACAACATGATGTCAGTGAAACCCTGGTGTTTGCCATGCTATGTGCTCTAGCTGGCGCTCAATTGAACTAGTGCTCCCACAAGGCACTAAGTGGTCCCAGATTTTTTTAATACTGCACACACCGAGTGTTAAGACCCATTCTGTACTGACTAGGCATCTCAGGCCAACTGTGTCAAATTTGGAGACAGGAAAAATAAAACGTTGATCTACGTTTGGAGCGCCAGTGGTACTAGCGTAGATCTATGTTTAGACAGTTTAAGGGTTAAGAGCTCTTCTTCAGCATCAAGGCAAAACCTTGAAGGGCATTATTTTGTTGTTCTCTTTTTCTTTTTATCCTGTAATGTACTTAGGATTATTTTCATTCCTCACCTTTTATGAACCATGTATTTTTTTTCAACACATTGGCTCTCTCCCACCGAGGCGGGTGACCCAAAACGAGAAAGAAACACTTCACCTTCATTCAACACTTTCACCTTCATTTACACATATCAGTCTTTGCAGAGACACTCAGTTATGACAGTCTAGATGTGTGTGGGATTATTACTCATTTGAGTGCTAAGCCCATAGGAGTGAACTGTGTATGATATAAGGGCAAAACTTAAAAAAATGTGAAGTTTAACATTGTTCCACATTCATTTTCACTTTTTTTTTTTTTAAGCCTTAACAGTTGTCTCTTGGCAAGACAGGGCGACCTAAAGAAGGAAGCACATTCATCATCATTCATTCGACTGTTGCTTTCAGGATAGCATTTTCAGAGTATCAACTTGAGAAAAAACTTAAATTATTCTTACAAAAAAATTATTTATGATTTAGTTGCAAAAAAGATTAACCCTTTCAGGGTTCAGAGGCCAAATTTCAAAGTGTGCACCAGTGTCCAAGAATTTTAAAAAAATAATTGTTATTTTTTCTTATGAAATGGTAGAGAATCTTTTTCTGAAGGTAATAAAACAAAAAGTACGAAATTTGATGGAAAATTGACGAAATTATCCTCTCGCGAATTTTGATGTGTGCGATATTTACGCATCGGCAATTTTGCGGACTTTGACTCCCATTTTAGGCCAATTACATTATTCCAGTCGACCAAATTCTTAGCTATTTCACTAGTATTACTTCCATTCTATCGATTGAGCACAAGGATTTGTCAAGTCAACTGTTTCATCTACAATATAAAGTGATCAGAAATTGGTAATTTGACCAATTTAATGCAAAGTTCAAAATACTCCAATTTCAAAATAGGGTCCAGAATAAGCAATGGAGGCATTCTGGCACTAAACTAACATTTCCTCTGTTCATTAGTTACGTTTTCAGGCTTTACTAATGAATTCCATTTTGATTTTTTATTCATATAATGAATTTATTCAAACCAAAAAATAGAAGATTTACTCTTATGCAATATTGTAATAATTGTATAAATAATATCAGCACATTTGTGAACATATATTAGACCCACCAGCTGGCATGTATTAGACATGTGAGGTCATTTGTTTACTCTTGAACATCGGCAAAAATTTAACATTTCCGCTAATTTGAGCTCAGTTTCAAGCCATTTCTAGTACTAAAACCAATCAAAATCATCCCTATTTCTGTAATATGTCTTCAATCCTATCAAATGAGACCAAGAAATCGCAAATACAACTATGAAAAACATAAGAAAAAACACTGCAAAGTCGCTGTTTTAATCGAAAATTATGGTCTTTTTTTATCTCTCATTATGCAGTATGTGCTGCAGGATTTGTTTTATGTGATGCACACATACCACATAGATGTATTCTCTCATATCAAGGCCAAAATTTACCGCTCACAGCTTATCAGAGTGAGCTGAGCTCATGACGTAGATCTACAGTTTGGACCCTCAACGTAAAGCCGTAGATCTATGGCATGGACCCTCAAGGGGTTAATATGTTAAAAGCAAAAATGTTCAGTTATGTTTCCTATTACCTATAGTTGATGATTTGTCATTATAAATGCTATTTACATTTTTTCCAGAGAGCATTATGCTCATCTCTATGGGCCAGTAGCCATGATTGAGGACAAGGTCAAACCTCTCTGCCCCTCCATTAAAAAAGGGCAGAGAACACGTGTCTCATCCTTCTCAGAATCACACTCCGATGAGATTCTGATCAATCCAAGGTCAGTTATGTGATGCATAGTTTTCATATACATAGTATATATGTGTGGTGTAGGCTGTTACTGTTGTATTTGATGTAGAAGTATAGAACTGCTCCTTGGGGAAGTGGAACATAATTCTTCCTCCATAAGCCATGCGTGTCGTAAGAGGCGACTAAAATGCCAGGAGCAAAGGGGCTAGCAATCCCTTCTCCTGTATCTATTACTAAATGTAAAAGGAGAAACTTTCATTTTTCCTTTTGAGCCACCCCGCCTCGGTGGGATACAGCCAGTTTGTTGAAAGAATACAGACATAAATCATTGTGTATTCATTATTAACACTGGCATACAGTCATTATTTTAATTCAAGCAAAACATCTGGCTTGTACATTATGTAGTAACTTTCTCCTATACACAGGGAGATCAGTTAACATCTTCTTTCAACAAACCTGCTGTATCCCGCCGAGGCGGGGTGGCCCAAAAGGTGAAATGAAAGTTTCTCCTTTTACATTTAGTAATATACACAGGAAAAGAGGTTACTAGCCCCTTGCTCCTGACATTTAAGTCGCCTCTTATGACACGCATGGCTTACGGAGGAAGAATTCTGTTCCACTTCTCCATGGATATAAGAGGAAATGAACAAGAACTAGTAAGAAAATAGAAGAAAACCCAGAGAGGTGTGTGTTTGTATATATGCTTGTACATGTGTGTAGTGGGACTTAAGTGTAAGTAGAAGTAGCAAGACATACTTGAAATTGTGCATGTTTATGAGACAGAAAAAAGACACCAGCAATCCTACCATCATGTAAAACAATTACAGGCTTTCGTTTTACACTCACTTGGCCGGACGGTAGTACCTCCCTCGGTGGTTGCTGTCTACCAACCTACTACCTATAATCAGTTAACATATTCATTTAAAAAGCAACTGAGGATAAATTAGGGCACAAACTGGTTAAACAATATATACCCACCTTAGCAACACTTGTCAGGTGGGTACTTGTGTCCCAGGATGAACACACTAATACAAAAACAGTGGTAAGTGGTGAGTCTTCAAAGTTCATAAAGGGATATTTACAGGATAACAGATTAGTGCTTGTGTTCTAAGATGGTGGTGCATACAAAAATAGTGAGCAAATGAGGAAGTCAGGAAAGAGGACATAAGAGAATTAAGAGAGGACTGTATGGCTAACTGTTCATTTGTTCTCATTCTTCAACCAGGTGAACACATCCACTTCACATTGTAAAACTGACTTGGTGAACATTCCTTAATTTTGGGGAAAGCAATTGTAGTTTTCTTAAGAAAAATACAATAACCCCTCGTTGTAATGTTGGTGATAGATTACTGAAAATTGGCATGTAGGCAAAGAAGAATAGTGTTATATGAAGTGAAGAACAAATGGAAAAATTAGGGTTACATTCCAGATAACTCAAAATTTTCTTACTATCATACTAGGTACAAAAATGCAGTATAGCTACCTTATAATCTGGTAGTATGTAGTTCTTTAATTTCAAGTGTGAAGAGAGGGTTCATGTTAGCCTACTGGGCTGAGTTTGTTTGCCACTGTTGTTGTGTTAATGTGGATGCAGAGTTATTGGTAGTTGATGGTCGTATTAGTGCTCAAGTATTCTGTAATGCATCTCTGGTATGTTTTACTCTGCAGTCCTTTGTAGAGCGTAGAGCTCACCAGAAAACTGTGTGTTATAAAGACAATGGAACTTTTTAAAACTTGCAAACCATCTAATACTAAACATACAGTTGTGAAGGCTCTCCTTCCTCAGTCGTAGTTTTATAGTATGATTTGGATTTGTGCCTTATTACCTGAGCACTAAACTAGGCTCTGTCCTTTGATTTTTTCTCTTCAGTCCATACATTCAGTGACTTTTCCTTCTTAGCTGTTGTGACCATTTTGATATTCTTTTGCACAGGTAACTATCTTTACTAAACCGCACAAGCTCGTTTCTTTCCCTTCATCATTTCTAATTGTATAACTAGTTGAGTCATTGACTGCACATAAAACTTACAACAGTATCCATCACTCTAGCACTACCTCTGACACTCAGCATATCTAGCACTTTCATTTTCTTCATTAATGTCAGAAATTCATGCTTGTTGTTCTTAGCACTTTTAGTGTGTATATTAGTCCTCTTATGTGCCATGGTTAATATCAGAGGACAGTTAGTGATGAAAATATTCAAAATTGCATAATAAATATGAAATGAGGCACAAGTTATATCCAGAATGCAACTGAGGCATGGGTGGTAAGTGAGAGATGGCATCAAGGCATGTAACACCCAAATTTTGCATGCAGCTTATTGTTGTGGCATCTCATACCAATATTTCATGGGGTAGCTTATTTTTTTCATGCTTTACAAAGTATAATATATCAGGTTTTCCCATAGTTAGATTTTGTAATAGAACTTTTTGAAAAGCATCGCACTGAAATTATCATGTGAAATGATGGCATGTTGTAAGAGAGCTTTCTGTATTCTGTAATCTTTTTATCCAGTGTCGCATCTCTGATTTTATACTGTAATTGAAGCTTGTCATACAATGATTTGCATGACAAGCTATGTAGTCTTCAGGAGGTGAGGACGCAGCGGTGTAGGTGAAGCTGAGATGGGAAGACTAATAGTGAGGAAGAAAGATACTGCTGCTTTACTTTTTAAAAAATAACAACATAGTGTATCATTAATTCTTGTGATCATAATAAAGCACTAAAGATGACAATGTTGACTATAGAAATGCATGTATTATAATTACAGGTGTTATAAAAATACCACTGAAAAATAGGAAAAACTCCTGAGTGCTTTCATGTGCTTACACACACACATCTTTACTGGTTATGGTAGAGGCATAGCAAAGACATTACGTTATTATTAGGACGACATTCTGCTTGGTGACAAAGCTTTCTCAAGTTTGTAGAGAATACATGGGAAAAGTGGGAAAATACAGGTGGAGTGAGGATCACAGGAGAGATGCAGGTGACTTTATCATATGAACAAATGTAAAGGTCATGTTGAAGAGTGTGCTGAGCAAGAGGGATTTAGCAAGCTAAAAAACTCCCTCATTGCTTTATCTACACTAGGCATCATCAATATGTATGCCCATAAGTATGCCTTTAGCAGACTATTTGAATGACATATTCAAGAGGTGCCAGGGCAACTTTTGTTTGGAAGATGGTCCTCCTTGCCATACTGTCAGACTTAAAGAAGTGGTTAAATTATTGTGATTGTTGCATACTTTAATCGCTGAAATGGAGACTCGCTGGACTTAAATCCAATAGAGAACACCTGGAAACTTATTTAGCATAAACTTTATGACATAGATGTGTCTTCTTACCCCAAAATCTTGAATGCCATTACTCAGATGAGGGAGAGTTTTGATTTTTCCATTTTTCCATCCTCCATAAATTAGCTTTATCAGTACCTAGGAGACTTGAGTGCATCGTGTGGAAGGGTAATCCTACGAAATACTAGTTTGGTTATAATCATTCTCATTTTTTGTATGATCTGTTTATGCAAGTGATTTTTTAGTTATTCTTACTGTATATGATGGAGTCTGTGGCAAAGATTAAAGCTGGTATTAATGGCCTCTGGTCTGACTGTGTCTTTGCAATGGCTTTTGAAACAGTTGTGAATGTATGGTTTAATCTTCAAAAAGAGTGCTGAAAATATTGTTCATGTCTCAAAGTCTACTTGCCAATTTCTTGGTTGTATAGAAAGTGTCCATGGGAACATGAGGTTGGATAGGGGCCCAGACTGCTGAAAACTTCATTGGACCTGTATGATGATGTCCTTGGTGTAGAATGAAACTACACTTCCTGGTCTGTTACCATCAACACTTTCACACAGTTCTAGGGAAATTTTCAGCAGTTTCAACCCCAAGCCAACCTCATGTTCCCAGGAGCACTTTCTACATAACCAAGGAATTAGTGAGAAGACGCTTAGAGTGGAACACTATTACCACCACCACTACGTATACTCTTCAGGCAGGCAATTAACTGTTAACTCACAGCTCGTGTTCCAGCAGCCATTAAAAGGGAATCGTCAGACCAGAAGCACTGCCCTTGCCACCTCCAGGACTAAAGTCCATTACGGAGGAAACTAAATATGATCCAGGACAGGGAAGGGTATTTGAAATTCCTGAGATCAAGAGACCTTCACAAGCATCAAGGCACCCCTCACTTTGAGGGGGCCCCCATGCTAAAAATTAGTTCTCTTCACACATCACAGTCTTGAAGTAATTTCCCAGAAGGAACATTGTTTCAAGTTTAATGGGTATATTTTTACTATTGAGATGGAGATTAGATGTGGGGTTACCAAAAGTATTCAGAGGGCTGAGGAGGGATTGCCAAGGCAAGGATGGAAAAAATAGGTTAATCAAGGTATATAAATTGGGTGAAGGAAAGGAGGAAAGGGTAGAGATGGTCCCAGGAAAGGTTGGAGGATGGGGATAGAGGAAGTTTTGGATGCTAGAGAGTTTAACATCCAACAGGTTTCTGTGAGCACATTAGATAGAAGCTTGTGGAGGCAAGTGGTTTTGTGACCAGAAATGCTCTGCACAACAAGCGGTTTTCTATATAGTAGACGTGCTGTTGGAGTGTGAGCACACTAACAATACATTAGGTGACAAAAACCACTTGCCTCCACTCTTATCTAACATGTTCACAGAAGCCTGTTGGAGGTTCAACCCCCTAGCACTCAAACCCTTTACCCCCTCCTTCTCTTCATCTCCACCTAGGAAACCCTTACCCCTCCTTCCCTTGACTCTGCATATATATACAGGTGGGCCCCACTTATACAGCAGGTTAGTCTCTGGGCTGCTGCTGTAGAGTGAAACATAGCCTTTTTTCACTTTCAAATGCAAATAAAATCCTGATAACATTACACTATCATTTATCACATGAGTAATAGACCTAGGTCTAAAAATGCATATACAGTATACACATTATTTACTTAAAAATACATATTTTCATCCTTAGCTTATAGTGAGTGGTGAATATATTTATTGTAAGAAGTCTAAATAAATGGAGAAAGGGTACAGTTGAAAACTGCTGTAAAGCGAAGCGCTGTAAAGTGGGGCCTTCCTGTACTTTCATAGTTGTATTCAATTTCTGAAAAGACACTAAGATACATTCTTTCATTATACTAATTAGGTTACGTCTTGAGAGCGGAGATCATGGCGATGCACACAACCTTCCTGGACTTATTAATGATGGGTATGTACTGTATCTATATTATTTTTGTGGGGAACTGCTAAATTCATTAGTCATACAGCACCTGAGGGAATAGGAGGTAGGTAATTAGATTTGATCCAAGGAAGATGAGGGTAGCCTCTGTTTCTTAGATCAGTAGCCTTCCACTAGTAATAAGGCTTATTCCTTGAAGGGATGTGCTGTTATATATATAGCGTGTTCTTTTAATGTGTGTGTGCATGTGACTGTGTGTACTCACCTGTTTTTGATTGTAGGGGTCAGTTGTCAGAGCCTGGCACTGCTGCTTCTCTTGCTACTCTTCAGATTCACTCCCTCTTATCCCTATGGGCCCTATTATACCTGCTCTTAAAACTGTGTGTGGAACCTGCCTCCACCACTCCTTTACTAAAATCATTCCACTTCCTGAGTATTCTGAGGCTGAAAAAGTACTTTCTGATACCACTGTGGTTTCATCTGTGATTTTAACATTCAGCAGTGTCCCTAGGGTTCCATTTCTCACATTTCAAATAGCCTGAATATTTTGTAAGTTATCATGTCCCTGCCTTCTCCCCAGTTCTTCTGTCCTCCAATGTCATTAAGTCTAATTCCATTAGCTGCTCCTCATAGCTCGTTTCCCTTAGTTCAGGAGCAAACCTTGTTTCATACATCTGTACTATAAATGGTTGCAGGTCAAGCTTAGCTCCTGGCCCTGACTCAATGTGCCAGTCGCTAAACTCGTGTCGTCTTAACCTTGTGGGTCCTGTTGTCTTCTTGTAAAACTGTGTATGGAGTCTCTCTGCTACTTCTTTATGGAAGTCATTCCAATTCCCAACCATCTTGAGACTGAAGAAATACCTCCTGACACCCTCATGGCTCATCTGAATCTTTAACCTTCGTTTATGCCCTCAAGTACCTGTGTCCCTCTCAGTCAGTCTACACCAATCTAACCTATCAATTTCTCTTGTGTATTTTGTATACTTATTATGTCTCCTCTGGTTCCTCTGTGCACTAGTGCCACTAAATTCTAAACCATTAGCTTTTTGTAGCTGTTGTTCCTTGGCTCTGGAACTAGTCTGACTGCAAACCTCTGCACCTTCTCTAGTTTCTTAACATGGTTTTTCAGTTGGGTTCCATGTTGGTGCTGCATTCTCCTTGATGAATCATATATGTGCTGTATAAATGGCCTAAAGTGACTCATTGTAGACATGATATCAGCTCCCATCACCTTTAACCCTTTGAGGATCAGTCACGTACTTATACGCCAAAATTCTAGTGCCTTCAAATCTGGTGGAAGAAAGCTGGTAGGCCTACATATAAAAGAATGGGTCTGCATGGTCAGTGTGAGCAGTATAAAAAAATCCTGCAGCACACAGTGCTTAATGAGAAAAAAAGAAACTGACCGTGTGTTTGATTTAAAACAGCGACTTTGCAATGTATTTTTGTATGGTATTTATGGTTGTATTCTCGTTTTCTTGGTCTCATTTGATAGTATGGAAGATATATTACAGAAACAGAGATGACTTTTATTGGTTTCACAATGAAAAGTACCTTGAAATTGAGCTCAAAGTAGTGGAAATGTTCAATTTTTGCCGATGTTCAAGAGTAAACAAATCACACCACATGTTCAATACATGTCAACTGGTGAGTCTAATATTCTTTCACAAGTGCACTGATATTATTTATATAATTTTTACAATAATGCAGAGTCTGCATGACAGAAAATCTATTTTTTGTGAGAATAAAATTCAAAATGGAAAGCAAGAGCAATATAAGAGGGGCCTGGAGACATGAGTAATGAACAGAGAAAATGTTATTTTAGTGCCAGGAATGTCTGTCATGTTTATTCTGGACCTCCCCAGTACCACCAATACCACCAGGCTGATGACATTCTTCTTTGCAAATATACAGGGTCTAAAGCCAGCAACGAACAACAAAATAACTTTCATCCGTGGACTGCTTGCAGAGGCAAATACAATATTTGCGGCTTTCACAGAGACCCACATAAAGGATCACTTGGACAACGAAATATGGATCCCAGGTTACAACCTATACAGATGTGACAGAGTGAACAGGCAAAAGGGGTGGGTTGGCCTGTACATCGCAGAGTCGCTTGTTTGCACAGAACTGCTTAATGCCTCAAATGATGTAGTGGAAGTTTTAGCAGTAAAGATCGAGAACCAAAACCTAGTCATTGTGGTAGTCTACAAGCCTCCAGATGCAACGTCCCAGCAATTCCAGGAACAGCTGTCAAATTGACCACTGTCTGGAAAATCTTCCAGCTCCTGCCCCAAACATCTTGCTCCTGGGGGATTTCAACTTAGGACACCTAAAATGGAGGAATATAGCAAATAATGTTGTTGCAGTAATAACACCAGGAGGCAGCTCTGATGAGAACTCTCACACACATGAGCTTTTAAATCTCTGCACAAAATTCAACTTAAACCAGCAAATAATAGAGCCTACTAGACTGGAGAATACACTAGACCTCATCTTCACTAACAATGATCATCCGATACGAAACGTCACCCTATCAAAAACAATATACTCAGATCACAACATAATTGAGGTTCAGACAAGTTTGTGTGGAGCCCCAGACCGACAAAATGAGATTAGTCATGAGGGAGCCTTCACCAAATTCAACTTAAATAACAAGAACATAAAGTGGGACCAAGTAAATCAAGTCCTAAATGATATAAGCTGGGAAGATATACTAAGCAACACAGACCCCAACTTATGTCTAGAACAGATTAACTTGGTGGCACTTGATGTATGCTCAAGGCTTATTCCTTTAAGAAAAAGGAGGAGTAGATGTAAAATAGAAAGAGACAGTCGCTCCCTTTTCAGGCGACGGAAAAGAATAAAGCGGCTAACAGAGGCCAATTCGTATATCTGAAATGCGTAGGGAGTCACTGGTTAGAGAAATAGCAAACATCGAACTTAAGCTAAAGGAATCTTATAGGAGTCAGGAATCGCGTGAAGAACTGAAAGCCATAAATGAAATCGAAAGAAACCCAAAGTATTTCTTTTCTTATGCCAAATCAATGTCGAGAACAACATCCAGTATTGGGCCCCTACTTAAACAAGATGGGTCCTACACAGATGACAGCAAGGAAATGAGTGAGCTACTCAAGTCCCAATATGACTCGGTTTTTAGCAAGCCACTAACCAGACTGAGAGTTGAAGATCAAAATGAATTTTTTATGAGAGAGCCACAGAATTTGGTTAACACAAGCCTATCTGATATTATCCTGATACCAAATGACTTCGAACAGGCGACAAATGACATGCCCATGCACTCTGCCCGAGGGCCAGACTCGTGGAACTCCGTGTTCATCAAGAGCTTTTACCATCCTATGGAGAGGGAGCATGGACACGGGGGTCGTCCCACAGTTACTAAAAACAACAGACATAGCCTCACTCCATAAAGGGGGCAGTAAAGCAATAGCAAAGAACTACAGACCGATAGCACTAACATCCCATATCATAAAAATATTTGAAAGGGTCTCCATGGGGAAGTGGAACAGAATTCTTCCTCCGTAAGCCATGCGTGTCGTAAGAGGCGACTAAAATGCCGGGAGCAAGGGGCTAGTAACCCCTTCTCCTGTATAAATTACAAAATTTAAAAAGAGGAACTTTCGTTTTTCTTTTTGGGCCACCCTGCCTTTGTGGGATACGGATGGTGTGTTGAAAGAAAGAAAGATTTGAAAGGGTCCTAAGAAGCAAGATCGCCACTCATCTAGATACCCATCAGTTACACAACCCAGGGCAACATGGGTTTAGAGCAGGTCGCTCCTGTCTGTCTCAGCTACTGGATCACTTCGACAAGGTCCTAGATGCACTAGAAGTCAAAAAGAATGCAGATGTAATATATACAGACTTTGCAAAAGCCTTCGACGAGTGTGACCATGGTGTAATAGCGCACAAAATGTGTGCTAAAGGAATAACAGGAAAAGTTGGTAGATGGATCTATAATTTCCTCACAAACAGAACACAAGGAGTAGTAGTCAACAGAGTAAAGTCTGAGGTGGCTACGGTGAAAAGCTCTGTTCCGCAAGGCACAGTACTCGCTCCCATCTTGTTTCTCATCCTCATATCTGACATAGACAAGGATGTCAACCACAGCACCGTGTCTTCCTTTGCAGATGACATCCGAATCTACATGACAGTGTCTTCCATTGCAGACACTGCAAGGCTCCAGGCGGACATCAACCAAATCTTTCAGTGGGCTGCAGAAAACAATATGAAGTTCAATGATGGGAAATTTCAATTACTCCGATATGGTAAACATGAGGAAATTAAAACTTCATCAGAGTACAAAACAAATTCCTTCCACAAAATAGAGCGAAAAACCAACGTCAAAGACCTGGGAGTGATCATGTCAGAGATCTCTCCTTCAAGGACCATAACATTGTATCAATCGCATCTGCTAGAAAAATGACAGGATGGATAATGAGAACCTTCAAAACTAGGGATGCCAAGCCCATGATGACTCTTCAGGTCGCTTGTTCTATCTAGGCTGGAATATTGCTGCACACTAACAGCACCTTTCAAGGCAGGTGAAATTGCGACCTAGAAAATGTACAGAGACCTTCACGGCACGCATAACGGAGATAAAACACCTCAATTACTGGGAGTGCTTGAATTTCCTGAACCTGTACTCCCTGGAATGCAGGCGGGAGAGATACATGATTATATACACCTGGAAAATCCTAGAGGGACTAGTACCAAACTTGCACACGAAAATCACTCGCAATGAAAGCAAAAGACTCTGAAGATGATGCATCATCCCCCCAATGAAAAGCAGGGGTGTCACTAGCACGTTAAGAGACAATACAGTAAGTGTAAGGGGCCCGAGACTGTTCAACTGCCTCCCAGCATACATAAGGGGGATTACCAATAGACCCCTGGCAGTCTTCAAGCAGGCACTGGACAAACACCTAAAGTCGGTACCTGACCAGCCGGGCTGGGGCTCGTACATTGGATTGCGTGCAGCCAGCAGTAATAGCCTGGTTGATCAGGCTCTGATCCACCAGGAGGCCTGGTCACAGACTGGGCCGTGGGGGCGTTGACCCTCAGAACTCTCTCCAGGTAAACTCCAGTTTTGAAATTTGTGTGAAATTGGCCAAATTGCCAATTTCTGACCACTTTATTGGGTAGTTGAAATTGGTAAATGGGCAGATTCTTGTACTCGGTCAATAGAACAAATGGAGTTTTAGCGAAATAGCTATGATTTTACTCAGACTGAAATAGTGGAATTGGCCGAAAATAGGGTTCAAAGTGGGGGAAATTGCTGATGCATAAATATCGTCGAGGCCGCTAACTTCACAAAGGCATAATTACGTAAGTTTTCCTTCAAATTTCAAACTTTTGATGTCATTACCATCGGGAAAAGATTCTCTATCATTTCATGAGAAAGTATTTTTTTTTTCAAACCTGAGTGGGAGTTCAGGATCGAGGGTCTCGACTCTCAAAGGGTTAATGTATCCAGGTCCATCAGAAGTTTGTGTGGATAGCATCCAGTACTTATTAGTGGTCCCCTGTTCCTTAGTCTCTCTGGTATTGCTCCAGTTTCCACTTAGAAGACCTCTTCAGATTGTTTTATCAGCACCTCGCAGACTTCCTTGTTTATAAGCTCTCCTCCTACTTTCCTCCATCAAATTACCTGGTCCTTTACTGCTGTCTTTCTTCTTGTGTTGCTGTGAAATAATTTCAGTGCAGACTTGACCTTTGCTGCTATGTCATTCTCGAAGTGTCTCTCAGCTACTCTCCTCTGTCTGCTTGCTTCTCTGTTCTCATCAGTTGTTTTCTTTGCTTTTTCCATTCATACATTTTCGTTTTTTGATTCCCTGCATCTCCGGTTGAGCCAAAGGCTCTCTCTCTTTGTTGTTTCTGTATCTTCTTTTTGTATGAAGGTCTTCTCAGCTTCCTTGCATTTTCCAGCCAGATATTCAATCATCTAGTCCACTGATTTACCTTCCAGTTCACTACATTCAGGAAGTCTCTTAGCCTCTCAAAATTCCACCTTCGACAGTCTGGCTGTACTCGCCTATATGGTCTGTGTGTGTGTGTGTGTGTGTGTGTGTACTCGCCTATTTGTGGTTGCAGGGGTCAATTAACAACTCCTGGTCCCGCCTCTTCGATGGTCACTACTAGGTCCACTCTCTCCTTGCTCCTTAAGTTTTATCGTATCTCTTATTAAAGCTATGTATGGATCCTACATCACTCCAGATTGTTCCATTTCCTGACAGCTCTGTAGCTGAAAAAAATACTTTCTAACATCCCTGTGACTCATCTTAGTTTTCAACTTCCTGTTGTGACCCCTTGCTGTGTTTCCCATCTCTTAAACATTCTGTCCCTATCCACCTTGTCAATTCCTCTCAGTTATTTGTATGTTATCATGACCCCCCCCCCCCCTCTCCCCTGTCGTCCAGTGTCATCAGGTCCATTTTCCTTACCCCTCTCCTCGTAGGACATACCCCTTTGCTCTGAGACTAGTCTTGTTGCAAACCTTTGCACTCTTTCAAATTTCTTGACATGCTTGACCAGGTGTGGGTTTTGCATTGGTGCTGCATATTCCAGTATGGGCCTGACGTACATGGTGTACAGAGTCTTGAACGATTCCTTGCTAAGGTGTCGAAATGCTAGTCTTAGGTTTGCCAGGCATCCATATGCTGCAGCAATTATTTGGTTGATGTGCACCTCAGGAGATGTGCTTGGTATTATACTCATTCCAAGATCCTTTTCCTTGAGTGAGGTTTGCAGTCTTTGGCCCCTTAGCCTGTACTCTGTCTGCAACCTTCTTTGACCTTCCCCAATCTTCATGACTTGCATTTGGTGAGGTTAAACTCCAGGAGCCATGTGTGTGCGCGTGCATGATGATCAGTTTTTAACTTGTGCTAGAAATATTTATTGAGCTTTAATAATTTCTCGATGCAACATTTTGTTAAACTAATGAAGTAATTTACATAGGAGTGTGCAACTAAGGAAGAAACGTGGATCAGTACTGCACGTGAGACAGTCTAGGGTAGCTTCAGAAGGTTCACAGCTCTCCTTGTCTCACCAGTCCTCACACGATGCTCAGACCCTCCGCAAGGCTTTCAGGAGCAACCCTTACAACAAGGTATGACTTCTCTCTATTATTATGTTTGAGGCAGTGCCGAACCCGTAAGGGTCTTATAGCATCTTGTGGAATGGGTGGCATTTGATTGATGGAAGGGGAAGATAGCTTCAGTTCCTTAACTGAAGAGCCCTTCAGTAGTGCCGAAGGACTCTCCTTCCAAGATTGTCTAGAAAGTGAAGCCTTTCATATTGTTCACTGCTTTGTGCTATAGTTCACTAAACATTTCTTAATCTTAATGTTATTTTTGTAATCAAAGTATAGTTAAGGTTATAATGACTTGTGTACCTCTTGGATTTACTGCTACTACTACTACTACTACCACTACTACTAGTACTAGTACAGTAGTAACACTTTTTACTAGTAGTATTCAGTGCATACTACCAACTATTTTCCATAATGTTAAGCTATAGTCCATTCGACCCACAACTACATACAAACGCTACTATATACACTTACTAATGTCGCATTAGTGATCTAACGTCATGTACTACTACTATTACTACTATTACTACTACTACTACTACTATTACTACAACTATTACTACTACTATTACTACTACAACTACTACTACAACTACTATTACTACTACTATTACTACTATTACTACTACTACTACTACATTACTGCTACTACTACATTACTACTACTGTGAAGTATTTGTAGTGAAACTTAATGCAGCTCCATGCATTTATGAAACAATTATTTTTTCTTCTCCTATATTTTTTTCAGTCTTTCAGCACTGTATTTAAGGTAATTCGAAGTTTTATGAATATTTCTCTTGCCATGAGTTACTTGCTTGTTATGAGCACCAAATCATATTACTCCTATAGTGACACTGTCAAAGATTATCATATGGTAGCAATTCTTTTATGTATTGTATTGAGTTTTAAGAATTTTCACTTAATATATGTTTAATACTGTTTGTTCTGTACAAATGGAAGTTTGGACTCAGATTATTTTTTTTTTAATATCTCCAGTGTCTTGTGTTATATGTGACACTTACAGACCCAGGGACACCTGTGTTGATATGGTACTTTGTTCTGTTGCTAGCAGCGGTTTCTTGATATTTAAAAAAATTATATTGAGGGCCATTTCATTGTAAGTAATTTAAGTACAGTGGAACCCCGGATTTCGTACTAAATCCGTTCCAGAAGGTCGGTCTAAATCCAAAACATACAAAAAACCGAAGTAATATTTCCCATAAGAAATAATGTAAATACAATTCAGTCGGCCCAGACACACAAAAATATTAACAAAAAAATACATTTTTTAAAGATTAACTATAGTTTTACATACAAAAAACAAGGAGAAATAAATATAAATGACTAATTTTAATAATTTAACATTACATACCTTTATTGAAGACTCTGTTGGCGTATTGAAGAAGGTGAGGAGGGGAGAGGGAGTTGAGGTTATTGTTTGGAAGGGGAATCCCCATCCATAAGGACTTCAGGTATCAAAGCCCTCTGTGGGGTTACTTCCCTTCTTTGTCTTTTACTGGCACTGGACCCCTGTCACACTAAAAATATGTGTAGAGAGCTCTGTTTCTAGCATCTCTCTAAGATTTGCCTAGAATGAGACAAGGTATTGTCACTGAACATGTTGCAGATACGGCTTGTATCAGCTTTGTCAGGGTGATATTTTTCAACAAGAGTTTGCAACTCATTCCACTTTACACACACGTCCTTAATCACTGAAGAAGGCACCTTCTCCCCTCTCTCTTCCTCCTTCTCTGAAGCAATTTCCTCACCTGTGGTCTGTTGCTGTTCCAGATTGTTCGTGATCTCTGTTTCATTAGCATATTTACCTCTTTCGCAACTTTAGCTTCCTTGATTTCTACTTTCTTTGCCAGGATGGAACAGATTGTTGATTTCGACTTCCCATACATCCTGGCAAGCTCGGCTGAACGTACACCACTTTTGTATTTTTCTACAATCTCTCTTGAATTCTATCATGTTTCTCACCTACTTTACCAAAGGGCTGGCATTAGGAACTTTCTTTGGGCCCATGGTGGCTTATTTCGCAGTCGCAATCAATAAACAAGCACAAAAATTGTGAAATGTTTTGGATGAATGCTCACTCAACCAGTGACAGAGCCAGACTGAGACACGTACGTGTGAGAGTGGTGGCATCTCGGGTGGCAGGCTCATCTGCTACATAAGATTTCCAGATGGAGGTACGAAATCTGGACCAAAACTTTGCCCCCCCCCCCCCCAAAAAAAAAAAAAAATTTCTAGATCCGAATTGTACGATATTCGGACTGTACGAAAACCGGAGTTCCACTATATCAAGCTATTATTATTTTTATTTTTTCACTTCATGTAAAGCATATCTTCAACAAAATTTCATAATTGTTGGTTATGAGGAAACTTCAGGCAAAAATTTTTGATCAATCCTGGACCATTCTGATGTCACAGCCGGTTAGTTGTGATGATCTGGGATTGATCCGAACCCCATCTAGCATTTCCTCTCTTAAGTGTGAGTTATATATCCATGTGGCATTATGACCTTGGTTATGAAGGTATTGTGAAGTATGAGGTTAAAGTATTTTAGCTTTTTTTTTTTTTTCATTGCAAGTTAAAAGCAATAGTTATGGCAAGCCAAGTGTTGGAGCACAAACAGAAACACCAGGTTAATATCTCATTCCCAGCATAAATAAGAAAATTGTAACTTTATTAATCAGAGTAATACAGGCAGTTATATTGGAGATTGTTTAGATCTAATTTATGTTTTATTAAAAAAAATAGGATTTAACTGCAGTGCAGTATAGATTTATTTTCAAGGTTTATGTTGTTTTCTTCCAGTTGTAGAGGCAGAGTTGGGAAAAATAATTTCCATGCGAGTATAATAATAATAATGCAGGTAATTTTTCCCATATATTAGCATATATGTTAAGGCTTTCCAGTTACAGGAGAACCCTATTTGTATGGCTCTTAAGGTTTAGGCTATCAAATATTAAATTCTCAATACAGCTAGGCATAAAAAAAAAAAAAAGTAAAAATATACAGTACATAAATACTTGCCTTAAAATACAGAGCCTGTTGCCCTTCCCTTATGCAACTGTTATGTGAGAACTGCTGTAAAAGTCGCCAAATGTAATGAACACTGGCTCACTTGAAAGCCAGTGAAAACCTGAAGCACCGGAAAGAGGGTGCCTGTACACGGGGCCCTCCTGTATTACATTTAAGGGTAAGTGCTAAGCCCATATGGCTCATACAACACATGAATAGGAGGAATGGAGGATAAGGTTTGATCCAAGGAAGGGGAAGGTAGCTCAGATTACTTGGATTAAAAGCCCTTCAGTGGTATCAAGATGCTCTTTCCTCCTCCTCCTCCTCCTCCTCCTCCTCCTCCTCTGGGTATCAAAGTGTTCACCCCTCCTTCCCCTCCCCTCCCTTATTTTTCTAATGGACATTAAAGATGTGAAAGGTAATGTAGTGTTTTGAATGCAAAAGTAAATACAGTGGAACCTTAACTTAAGAGTTTAATCTGTTCCAGGAGCTAGCTTGTAATTCAATTTACTTGTATATCAAATTAATTTTGCTCATTTAAATTAATTGAAAAGCCATTAATTCGTTCCTGCACTCTGAAGAGACGAAAAAAAATACTTTAATATGACGCTGTTATCAATTGTATGGCTTATTTATCTATCACAATTCATCTAATATATATTAAACAATATAATTAACACAGAAACATGATATGTACTCTAGAATGAATGAAATAGGCCATAATATGGTGGCAGAGGCAGCAGCGGAAGTGTCCACCATTTTCTGTCCAACTTTGACTATGTAGTATCTTCCATGCTCTTATTGCAAGAGAAAATGGAGTATTTTTGAGGCAACTGCAGTAGATCACTAGTTTTCTAAGGAAAACACTGAAAATATTGTATATAAACAAATAATAAATCATGATACACTACAGAATGTAAAGAAATAATAAACTGTTTATATAAAGTGTATATGTACTTAAACACTTGGAGCATAGATGGTGGCAGAGGTTGAGTGTGGGGGAAGTTAAGGGTGGGGGAGGTTAAGGGTGGGGGAGGTTGAGGGTTGAGGTTAGTGGCCCTGTAAACCTCCAACAACAACATTGTTTTGTTTCATTGCTGAACTTAACTCGTACAATTTGTTTTATCACTTTATACAGTTTTTGTTAAAACACTGACATAACTGATACAATTTTTGTTTAATCACTGAACATAACTGATACAATTTGTTTTGTTTAATAACTTTTCACTTCTTTCACTTGTTCTTACTTTTCACTGCCTCATGCCTTCTCTCAGATGATACCCTCAGTCATGGTATCTCCTGTGAACTGCTTCTCTCTCAACCACGTCAGCAGCAGCTTCTCCATCTTTTCATGGACAGAGGTCCGCAGCTTAGACATTATTGTAACGCCCTTGGCTGGTGCTATAGCCTTTATCGACTCCTGCTGCTTTAGTATCGTGCATTTAGTAGATGTATGTCGCTGGTATTGTCTGGCTAAATGAACAACTCGTGCACCTTGCTTATGTTTATCTATGATTTCATGCTTTAATTCCATGGAAATCATTCTTTTTCATCTCAGTACTGTCCTTTGCACTTATTTTCTTAGGACCAATGGTTAGAAAAGTGAAATTTGGCCAAATAACACTCAAAAATGTAAGCAAAGCATGAGAGAACTGCTTCCCACAGCGATGTAAACATGTACTGCTCAGCAGATGCTTTGAAATCAGCTGCACTGACTAGCGGCAGCATTCATAATTATTATTATGTATGTACGTATTATGTACATAATACATACGTAATTGTAATTTATTATTATTATTATTATTATTATTATTATTGATAATTTAGGAAACTGAACCTCTATAGCTATTATAATAATTATTACTTATTTTTCTTGTTATTATTATCTTTTTTTTTTTTTTAAGTTGGCCATCTCCCACTGAGGCAGGGTGACCCAAAAAGAAAGAAAATCCTCAAAAAAGAAAATACTTTAATCATCATTCAAAACT